AAAAATATTTTTTCCCTAGACTTTTCTAGTAATATGAGGGGCAGAGTTTTTTCTTTGGGAAAGCTCTAAAAATCACTGGTTACTTGCTAGGCACAAAGTTGTGAACATGTTCAAAGTTGAAGGCAGAGAAGTTACGTGAACTTATTTGGTGGAGGGCAGCCTGAGAGCTGTTCATCCCTGAGATGAGTTAAAGGCATGATGCCTGAAGTTTGAGTGATTAAATTCTGAGATGAGGATAAGGTACATGGAGCTTCTCAATAAGGACTCATCAGCATTAGAACAAAGAGTTTAATGTATAAAAGGAAGGCAGCACCTACAGAAAATGCTTTGAGATGTAATTACTTGTATGCTTATATGTTGAAATTTCTGTCACTGTAGTCGTATGTCGGTCCACTTATGAGTATTCAGTGCTGTTTCTTGGGATAATCTCAGTGGCATGGAAACTGTGTTAGTGGAAACAAAGCTTGATGGTTATTCTTTGATAAATTCAGGAGAGTTCTCAAGTTGGCAGTGCTTTTTGAGCTGCTTCTGGATGGAAGCAGCTGAATGGATGGAAGGCCATTAACTGTTGGATGTCAGATTTTGTGGTATAGTGTCTGAGTTGGTTCTGCTGTCTTTAAGGTAATATTCTGATGCATGATGGAGTTCTGACTTAAATATAGCATGTTGCATTCAAGTAAGAAGCAGTAAAAGAGAGAAATTTGGTAAATAAACTGCATGAATCTCTATGACCTATTATTCTAATAATGCCTTCAACACTTAAAAAATTCCTGGGATTTAGGTTTATATCTAAGCAACAGTGCACAACTCCAATAGTTATAAGATATAGAAAATTAAGGTTTGCTGGGCTAGTAGATAGTAGAGTTTTTTAGGTTGCTTGTTGAAATAAGTGCCGTATCAATATATTCTTGTTCAGTAGGTAGCTTAATATATTGGGTTTTGTTTTTTTAAAATGGTCTTTATAGCAGGCTTCAGTCATTTTTCCTAAGTAAAATAGCACATGTTGTTCCAAGCAGGATAAACTTAGTTGAGGTTGCTCAAGGCCTTTTCCAGTCCCATTTTGGGTATCTAAGCTTTTGGGGCCCTTAGCTATTGAGAATTCACACTAACTTATTACTGCAAATTGTTTTTTCCATTTTGTTGTTTCATGTAAGTAGCTTTGGACAGAAAGGTCTGTCCAGCTATGGATGACAGTGCTGAGGAAAACCAATTTGATAGTTACAGAGGGTTATGTTCTTTGCATGCTGCTTGATGTGAATATGTCATTTACCTCTTAATTGTAGCAATCAGATTACCAATCTCCCATCTCTTCTCATCCATATCTCTCACATTCCAGTGTGCATTCTACTTGCCTTTGCAAGCAGACATACAGCACGTAGCCCGGGTTTCAGATATTTTGCTCAGTGGGTGGGATAGGGCCACCCTGCTTGTACAGTCATAGGCTTTGCTCCAGAAATAGTATGTTGCATTCCTCCATTGGAATTACTTCTTTTGTTTGGATTCTACTGGGGTTTAAGTCTATGACTTTTCCTACTCTGTGGTTAATATGTATCATCTTGGAGAGTTCTGTTGTGAAAGAGCTGCTGTTTTTTCATTGACCTATGCATGCTGAAAGTGATTGGTATCTAAAAATGTACAAAATGCACTTTAAAATCCAGAAATTAGAAGGAAAATTAAAAAGATTTGGCATTTAAGAAGGAGGGGGATAAAAAAAAGTCTTTATACTTCAGGTACTTGAAAATAATGTGCCATTTGGGCTTCTGAATTTTGTAATAATCTCAATTTTTTGCTATTTGACATGTTATCAATGCATCATCTATCAGAGCTGCATGGCCAACATTTCTTGAGAATCAGAAAAGTAGAGTGCTTAATAAAGTGTGTTGCCCTGTTACTGTACAGTCTTACTGTTTTTCTGTAATGCTACTGTGGAGAATCCAGTTAAGGAGATTTAGAAGTTGTAGAGGAAAGCACTCAAAATGTCATTAAATCTCTTTAAATGCTTGAGATAAATTACTCTTTAATGAGATCTGCTGTAGGTTATGCAGAAAACAGGAGAAAATACTGCATTTTATCTCACTTTGTTTCCAGAATGCCCACAAAAGAGTCCTTGATGGCAGTAACTAATGGCATCTCTTGAGGATTATTGTATACATAAATCAGCTATTTGTGCTCTTGAGACATTCCTCTCCAGGATACAGAATAGAGAGCGCTGCAGACTTGTAGGCCTCTGGTAGGATTTTAACAGATTCCCAGTGGCATCTTGGAAAACTGTCCACAATGAAGAACGGCAAAAAATGTCTTTGTACATTATCATCTATATCTTACTTTAATCTGTTTCTAGTATGCAATGAGCACATCTGTCACTGTATAAAGATAGCATTTGTCTGTTGTGTACAGAGATTATTTCACAGGCAAGTTTGCACATACAAGAATTTTCATCTGTATTTTTTCTTGCTGGGAAAAAAAGAAGAGAGATGTTAATAACTGGAATGGACCATTTTTATGAAAACAAGAAATCCATAAGATAGGAGTGTACTCATCTTCATGAAGTGCTGTGAGATTTTTTTAGTGTAGAGGGCCCTACCGAGTGTGCCATTGTATGAAGGCAGCATGAATGAGGTGAATGTCATTTAGTGAGTGTAATTGCTGATTTACTGTGAATTGTATTAATTGCTTAGCAAAAAAAATCTCCGTGTTGCACAGTGTGTTTAGATGTCGTTGCTAATGACATCTATGTAGATAATGTGGGAAAATATCTTTCAGACCAAACTTAGAAGCTCTCTTGATCCTCTCTGTTAGCTCAGGCTTTGTTGAAATTATCTATGTGTAAGAAAAGGCAGTTCATTTGGTGGTATGGATCATCTGGTGTGTTGTGTGATTCCCCTAGCATTGATTAAATTGCTGCTCTTTACCTAAGATCTGAATTTAGCTGTGGAATTTATGTTTGTTACCCTGCAAATTATAACATTCTACCACTGTGAGTGTTTTTGTTTGGTTTTTTTTAATTGTGGGTTATGGGGGGGAGTTTGTTGTTTTGTTTGTTTTTTCTTTGAACTCATTTTTTTATTTGTTTGCCTTGCAATGAAAAATAATTTAAAATCATCTGGGATGATATGATAGTAGTCCTTGTCATCCTAAGTTTGTGTTGCTGCCACACCCTTCAGTGGAAGACCTCTGAATTTTGTGCTTTTTTGTGCCTTAGTTTCCTTTGAAACAGGTTTTGGTATTTCAATACGAACATTGATTTGTAATCCCCTGCCCAGAGAGACTAATTCTGGGGAGGATGTTAATTTTGAAACGTTTTCTTATATCTTATGATTTATATACTGATTTAAAATTTTTCTGCTCTCTCCTTAATTAATATAAAATCACATTTAAATATGTCCTCTTACTGTTTCCAGCATTTTGCATCTTTTTCTTGATGCACTTACAAATGCATCCTGTGTAATTAATTTTCATGTATTTGAACTTAGAATGCATAGTGAAATTCAAACAATGTTATATTTGGAACCCTCTATGATAGTAGCTTTCCTGTGTAAGATCCTACTGCTCTGTTTGTGGTTTACCACGGCCAGATGCTTTCTTTTTGTGGTTTGTGTGCACATATGCACGTTGCACATTTTTCAGCCCTTGTCCTTGGGATGCTGCATTTAACAGTTCCTGTTTCTGAAGCAGCAAATGCACCAGGTGTCAGATCTCCAGCTTCTAATTCCCGAGGCTTTGTCCCGTCAGAACAATCCATGCTGTTTATGTCTTCCAGCAGAGCTGGAATTCAAAACTGTCTCTTATTTTGACTTCACTAAGAATAAAAGCTTCCAAAAGTACAAGTGGAAAATTATGGCATTATTTTCTGTTCATATAAAGTGTAGATGGATTTCCAGCATCCATTTGAAGCAGTCAATGGGAAAGTGTGTTGTTGAAGCCAGCAGAGCTCTGAAACTTTAATTGCTTGATTATTCAGTTTAGTTCTTCTGCTGGTTCTGAAACAGTTTGAAATCTTGCACAAAGTAATTATTATCAACTAATTATACTAAGTGTGGGGAAAATTAATAGGTTCTAATTTAAAAAATCTGTTTAGCCATCTATAAAATAATTTCCTTAGATTCACTTTCGGGTCTGTGTTGCTCCCAAAATGCTTCTCCCTTTTCATTCGTTCCTAGCAAGTAGGCTTTTCTTACTAATTGCATTTCAAAGGTGACAATCTTGAAAAAGTGGTCATACTCAGCATATCAGGGATGGCATGTGGGAGATTGAGTCTCACTTTAATATAACTGGATATTTTCACCCAGCATATGATGGTTGGCCTGTGGTGGTAAGTTTTCTCAGGTTACAGAACAGAGATCTTTCACTCCATGAAGCATAGCAGGAAGATTTATGTTCTCACATTTTCCCAAAGCTCCTTGAGAAGAAACTGGCATTTTGTTTATTTAGTTACTCTGATTTTGTAGAGTGAAAAATGAGAGAAGTGATGGTTCAGTTATTTTTTTAATGTTAGGTCCGTCCTGTGCATGCTTTCTACTTTTGCTGCTTTTGCAAAATGGTTTTGTTCTTTAAAATAAAGACTTAAGTATTATTCATATTAAATATTTGCATGAATAGCTATAAGGTACTAATTCAGGTTTGTTTTTCATTGAGGAGATAATAAAGAGATGAGCAGTATTCTTTTTGGGAATATCTCCTACATTTGGAATGCATTTTTCAATTAACTTACCTAACCAGTGGTAGAACTGGCAGATGTTTTCAGGAGATGCACACTGTTATGCTTTTCTTTGACTGAATTAATGAAAGCTTTACCTTTAATGTGTAAAATGTTTTGGAGTTGGAGAAAGGTACCAGATGCTTCCTTAGAAGTCTTGCTAAAAATGTGATGAACATGTGAAATCTTCACTTGCTATTCAGTGAATGAAGCCTTTTTTGTATGTTGAAAGTTTAATTTAAATCCTTCTTCAGACAGCATGTTTTGTGAAATGTTTTTTTTCTCTTTTATTATTCATCTGTAGGTTCCTTCAGAGAAATCAGAATCCTTTGCATCCATGTTGAGACGCTCTCCTTTAATTCAGATGGGGCCTGCCAAAGATAAAATTGCCATTGGTCAAATATTCCATGTTGTAGAAGATGATCTTTACATAGATTTTGGTGGCAAGTTTCACTGCGTGTGCAAAAGACCAGAAGTTGATGGAAAGTAAGTAATGAACTTACGGTAGGTGATTGACATCTGTGAATGACAGCCTGAAATGCTTAGCTAAAGGGACTTGAACATCTTCTGGACTGACCTTGGATACTTTGTGTGAATTCTAGGGTTTAAACTATGGAAGTTAATGGGTTGTGTAGAATGAAAATATGGTCACAAACAGATCTGCATAGCTTATCATTGTCTGGAATTCAGATTCCTTTACACGTTTGTGTTATTGCTGTCTACATTATTCCAATTTACGATGAGCAAAGGAAGTTACTGGATATTTAGTCACTGGAAAAAAGGGAAATAGTTTTTAAGCACTGTTTATTAAAATACTTGGGAGTTTGTGGATGTGGAACTTCAGTCCCATGTAAGTAGTCTTCTTAGGCAGTAGCTATCTCTGCTAAGCATAGATACATGAGGTGATGTACTGGGGAGTTTACATGTTATTTGTGATAATACTTTTCATAGCAGATTATCAGTGCTAATGTGGTCAAATATTCTATATTGTAGCAGGTGATTTTATATAGATTTTGGTGTCAAGTTTCACTCTGTCCTGAAGTAGAACAACTGTGGTGGATATAGAACAGTTGTGCTGGGGAATACAGTGTTTAGAGAGCTAAAAGATAAGAAGGCAATGAATTCTAGTGGAAATAGCATTTGTAAGCTTTCTAAACTGTCTTTGGCATCTTGTAACTATGTATTATTCAAAGATCTCTTGTCTATTTAATATATAGGCAGAAAAACATCTTTTTTAATTAATAGCATTAGAGTATTTTAGTCCATCTCTTTTCCCTCTGTTTCCCCTAAGAGAGGAGGAGCATGGCTGTTTTTGAAACATTAAATATGATTCCTGTGATAATCAGTTCTGAAATAGCTGATTTAACAAAAGGAGATTTAACAGAAATAATCACACGTTTGTGTGCAAGTCCATGATAGTATTTTATCAGAGCATTTTTATACTTAGCTTCTTTTTTTGACAGGTCTGTCACTTTCAGAGCAAATGCATTTGATGTCCCAGGATGAACTGAGTCCTTTATGCCCATCCCATTTGGCAGCAGGCAGAGATTTTCTTAGTCTGTTGGTGCTACTGCAGTGATAAATGCCTTGTTGCTGTTTCCATCTCTTGCTAATTCCAAATGGAGATTAACTTTGCATTTCCCAGTCCCATTCTTGCCTGCCTGAGGAATGTTTCTATATTAGTCTCAATCTCTGACCTTTCATTTGGTTTTGTGGTCGAGTCCAGACCGAAACTCGCTGTTCAGCTGCACCAGCCTTCTGCCAGGCCTGCTCATTGGAAAAGACCCTTGTGAAGCATTGGGGAGTTTGTCCTTAGAGATCTTTGATGTCTTCTGGGCGCTTTTTCTTGTCAAGACAGTTTCTCTACCCTGAGTAACCTGAAGTCTACTGTCCTGAATTGTAGATCTGTCTTCTGTTGCTTTCCTTTCTCACTTTCCTTCTGCATGGAAGCTCTCGTTGGTGGTCTCTGCAGCTGAGACAGACATCAGCTATCACATTTCCAAGCAGTTCTTATGTGCCTGTGTGTAACATATCCAGCAGAAAACCTGTCCTACTTGGGTTGTCTGGCACCTCTGGTAAGAAGATGCCGCCAGGCATGCCCCCCTCCATGTTTGTTCCTGCTTGAACACACATCAAGACATTTGAAGTGCCCTGTGACAATGAAGGCCTGCAATTGTGAGATGGCTTCTGAGAAGCTTCATCCACTCCCTCTTCCTGACCACACTGCCCACAGCAGACATTCACCTTGAGTCTGTGTTGATCTCCTCTCCAGTTTTGGCCCACAGCTCTGAGCTGCCTCCTTGCATGATTCATAGCAAGGCTCCATGCTCTCATGTCCCTTTCTTGCTTCCACTGCAGCCTCTTTGCCTTGACCCATGTTTGACTGCATGGTTCTTCCCAGTTTTGGGGAGGGGGCAAATTTGTGTTTATCTTCAAATCCCTAACTGTGATTTACTCACCTTGTGAATGCTGAACCCACCACTTGCTGTTTCCTTGTGTGGTGTTATTATTTTGTCATGGTGCTCTGGAATACTGAGATGGCAAGACAAACTGGGGGGAAGAAATGAAAGATGTCTTCCTGAAAAAGCTCACAGGCAAACAAGCATCTGTCCACTCCTTCCTTGCTCTCATCTCACCCTCAATAATTTACACCTTTCATGTGGTTCATGTTGCAGAGGTACAGGGGAAGATGGGGCCCAGGAAAACTCTTGTTGGAGCAGGTGCTTTAGAGTCAGTTGTCCACTGAACACTGGGAACATAAGCTTGGGGCTGAGAAGATCTCGGCCAGTTATATTTTTGGCTGCCTTTTATAATGATCAAAACAAGGAGATCCCTATAAAACTTGTTTATACTTCCTTCTCACTGCTTTTGAGTAGGAGTGGAGAGATGGAGCTTAATAGCCTGGGTATTTTTAATGAAATTAAATTTGGTGCTAAAGGCAGTAGTTCCCAGAATAGTAGAGACAGCATTTACAGCATTGAGGATGTAGTGGCAGTGGATATAGTAGTGTTGCTACTCTATATTTAAATGACTTAAAGCATTCATTTGAGATGTAGGTGACTGATTCAAATCCCTTTTCTCCTCAGTTCATACCAGAAACCTGAATTTTTCTCAGACTACTTAAGTTTTTAAATGCTATTTAGAAGACCTAATCCTCTAAATAAAAAAAAAAAAAAAAAATAAGAAAGCAAATAATTTCTATAATTCTTGTCAACTTTTTCCAATTCGTTGTGTTTCTGGAATTGGAATTTCTAAAATTTATCTGAATTTGCAAAAAAATTGCAGTAGCAAGCAGTCTTTTGCCATTTATGTAGAGGTATCTCTTGAAGACGTGCTTTTGATATTTCCTTGGTCATTTGGCTTTTTTCTCAATGGAACTCAACTATTTTCATGATATTATAATACAGTTTTCTTTTTCTTATATGATATCCTGTGCTCTTTGAAAATGCTACAGTTTACTTGAAAAGAAACAAAAGATTCTTGAGTGTAAAACTTTTTCTTTTGGGCTGCTCAGTCCTGTTCCTAACAGTTGTGATTTCTTGGAATGTCCAGATGAAAGACCCTGTAGTGCTACCACCATGTGGCCATAAGAAAGGATTTCACCCCAAAGACTGTCTTGGGTAAAAAAGCTAGTGAAAAAAAAAATGTCTCTTACTTGGAAAATTTGAAGTAGCTAAATAAATACATTTTTTTCCTTAGTTCTAAAAAAAGAAATTTCAGCTTTTAAAAAAAACCTAAACACTTAAACTAAAACCCCAAACAAAAACAAGTAATGCAAAATTTAAATTGAATAAACATTTGAAGAACCTGGTAGCTATTTTTGTTTGGTTTTCATTCATTGTTTTCCTTTCTTTTGGACATCTGTTTCATAGAATTGCAGAAAATAAATTTTGTTATCAGCATTGATGGTAGTGAGATGAGTTAGAGATCAAATATATTGTTGGTAAAATCTCACTGGGGTCAGGCAAGGATGTATTTGATTATAAATATCAGTATAATTTTGTTATTTTGGGTTTATTTACTGTGTCAGGAGTATTTATTACCCTTATGATTTCAAGATCTCATGTAATATATGCTGTACTTATTAAATATGTACTACAATTAGTAAACATGTTTCTTGATACACTCTGACTTCAATGCTTTATTAAATTTGAATTTTATGCCAACAGCACAGCAATTCTGTTAAATATCAAAGTATATACAAATGAGACAGGGTCTGTAGTAAAGTAAGATTCCTTTTCAGCAATGGGAAGAAAGTACATTTTTTCTCTCTTTTAACATGCAGTGGAATTGAAGTCCTAAAGAAGAAAGTGTCTGTCTTACATCTCCAAATAAACAACAACCTAATCCATGGCAAAAAGGTGCAGTTAAAACCTGCTTCTGTCATTATCAGATGGAATTCCTGAGAAGCAGAAAATATGGGAAGGGATTGTGCTGACACTGCCTCTTGCATGGTCTGCACCTGTACTGTTAATGACCAATTCCCATCAAAAGCACAATGGCTTTCAGCAATTTACTAAAATGTAGGATTGCAGGACCAGCTTCCAAAGGGGATTAAACTGCACCTCTCCATGCCACTGTAATGAAGCTTTATTTTCAAAGACTGCTGTAACCCTCCAGCAACTCCAGTATTATCAGGCTGTAGGATCAGAAAGACACTTCCTTTATGCTTGAGTATGCAGCTGGTGCAGAGATTTCCAGTATATCCTGTGGCAATTTTACTTGACACCTTTTATACAGTGCATATTTGCCAAACTTAAATAGTAGAGAAGGGAAGAAATCATTTCATGCCGGTTGTGATTTAGAACATGACAGCTTAATGAGCACCATAAAATATTACCTAATGCTGTTTCTGCAAATTGTATCAAAATATTTACTCTGTTTGAACGACTGCCAGGGTGAATTTTATTTGGGAAACATTTTAAATTCTTCTCTTTTTGTTCTATTTTTAAAATATTTTATAGATAAGGTCAGAATGGAATCCAATTTAAACTAATCTGGTTTCTTAGATTAGGTAATGTGCATAAGGCTGGTTGTTTTCCAGTACATTCATTTTATTAAGACAGTCTTAAATTTATGTTGAAAGTAATAGGAGAAACTGTTTAAAAGATCTTGTAAGATTAAAAATACCAATTTTCTGAAAAAAGAAAAAGAGGTGCATGAAGAGAGAGGCTCTTCATGGGAAAGAATTTCAATAAGACACTGTTTGGTTTAGTTCCAGTTTGTGTATTAAACAGTGACCATGTGTTGAGCTGGAGGGTGAGTTTGGAGTTACCTACTCTGTCTTGATGCCATGTGAATATGCTTTTTGAATGAGTGCATCTCAATCAGAATGAGCTGCCTCACACAAAGCACCCTGCTCTCGGCATGGTTCCCTTGTACAAGGGGACATGTCAGTGTCTGGTTCAGTCTTTGCTTGCTGAGCCCTCCTTTCCCTGACTGTTGTGTATGTTTTGGTGCAATATTACTATGGAAGGGTTTAGAGA